TGGGATCTGGTTCAGTGGTTCTTTCCCAGGAGTTCATTCCTAAGCCTGCCATGTCAGTCAGACTCATGAGGCACGTACTTAATGTCTCCTCACTAGTGATAATGTTAATGTGCTATACATTCTTGGTATGGAATATTCCACATCAAACTCATGTTTGCCTTAAGTATTTGTTCACTCCTCTTAGTTATGTGGGTGATGGAAAGAGTATGGGTAATATTGGACGCTTTAAGGCAAGGCCTTTGAAATGGAGTATATTTCTTGTCATACTGGTTCTTTGTTGTATCCAGACGTTTTATAGCTGAATTTTATATGTGTGTATGAGTATGTGTATATAAATACACACACACGCACACACACATATACATGCATGCATATATATACACGCCACATTTTATTTATTCATTTATCTGTTGATAGACATTCGGTTGTTTCATAGCTTGGCTATGGCGAATAATACTGCGATGAACATCAGGGTACAGATATCTCTTTGAGATAGTGATTACATTTTCTTTGCATATATACCCAGAAATGGGATTGCTTTGTTATATGGTATTCATGGCTGGTTCACCAGCCACTTCTGATTGTCTGTTCTTTTAAGGAGAACTATAGAAGTTAGAGGTTCCAAAGAAGCCAGGTTGCTCTGATCAGGAAAGATGGAATGACCAGCTCAATATGGTTCTTCTTTCTGGTTTCTAATGCCTAAAGGTAGGGAGAGGGTGGGGAAGAGTATCCCTCTGTAGAGCTGCTCTCAGAGCTCGAGGGGAAAGCAGACAAGGGGATATGGGCCCAGAGCGTAAAAGGCGCATTGGACTTTGTGTGTACAAGGTGCCTCCTGCCCACTTTCCCATCCCTGGCACTACCTGGAATCGGCATAGCTAGAGGACAGAAGGTAGCAATGCACATTATTGATGTGACATGAAAGCATGTGGCCCTCTGGCGAAGATGAAGTTTTTCGGATGGGGGTTGTTCCTTAATTTTCTAGCTTCACCGAAAATTTTGGACTTAGCCGCTGGGGAATGCATTGGTGTTGCTGCCTCATTCTATGCCTTACCTTAGCCTGTGAAAAATGTCTCAAGGGATGGTGGCCTTCGACCCACTATAGTGCTGTCTAAAACATTCATCCAGGGGAGTCTTCCGAGAGGCAGAATGCTATCATTTCTAGTGAAGGGCACTTGGTTTAGTTGACCGCTGAATCTTTCATACTGATAGTGAGCTGTGTTCCCCTGAGGAGACTGATGAAAGTGAACTGCTGTTGCTAGTATGTTCTTCCAATATACTGGCCAGACACTTCTACCTCCAACACTCCTGTGGCTCAAGTGCCTTGTTAAATCCTAAAGCAAGCACATACTGGCAATGGCAGCATCGGGGGGATGGGGACTGTTGGGTCCCCGGGAGGCAATTGGCCACGTCCAGTTTTCAGCCTTCTGCACTCTTGCACGTAGGTGCTGAACACAGTGATATCCACTATGCCGAGCAGTGGCATATGAGGAATCATTCGGAACCCCAGATTCTGTGGAAGGGAAGGTGGTTGGAGTTTTATCCAAACCTTTCCATATTTTAACCCAGCCTTCCTGCGCTCTTCTGCTGAGCATACTCTGCACGTTGGTGGGAAGGGAAATGTCACGTGGGTCCTGTCAATGAACAGTACCTGAAGTTATTAGGATGGGGATTCTTATTTTTCTAGCCTCACTGAGAATTTTGGACTTAGCTGTTGGGGAACACATTGCTGTTCCTGCCTCTTTTGTGCACTGCCGTAGCCTGTGAAAAATGGCCTTCAACCCTCTTGTACAGTTGTGTAGAACATTAACGGGTCTTCTGAGAGGGCGAAGACTGGGGTTGTTTGTGCCTCATGGGCAGGTGCAAATGAGCCTGGGACAAGAATTGTTTTCCAGTTTCCAAGCGAACTGCAGTTCCTTCTGATAGTGGAGGCTTTGATGTCTCGTGGATGATCTGTGCTTTACCTTAGTTTGAGAAAAATGGCTCTAGGAATGATGGCCTTTGACCCACTATACTGTTGTCTAAAACATTAACCTGGGAGGTCTCCTGCAGGATGACGTGCGGGTGACTTTTGGTACTTTGTGGACAGGTGCAAATAAGCCTAGGGCGAGAATTGTTTTCCCGTTTCTAAGCGAACTGCAGTTCCTTCTGATAGTGAAGGCTCTGATGTCTCACGGATGATCTGTGACTTACCTTAGTTTGAGAAAAATGGCTCTAGGAATGATGGCCTTTGACCCATATACTGTTGTCTAAAACATTAACCTGGGCGGGAGGGGGGTGGTCTCCTGAGGGGCAAAGTGCTGGTGTCTTTTGGTACTTTGCAGACAGGTGCAGATGAGCCTGGGACGAGAATTGTTTTCCAGTTTCCAACCAGACTGCAGTTCCCTCTGCCATGGATGGCTTTGCTGCCTCATGGATGATCTGTGCTTCACCTTAGGCTCAGAAGAATGGCTCTGGGAATGATGGCTTTCGACCCATATACTGTTGTCTAAAACATTAACCTGGGGAGTCTCCTGAGGGGCAAAGGGCTGGGGACTTTTGGTACTTTGTGGACAGGTGCAGATGAGCCGGGGACGAGTACTGTTTTCCAGTTTCCAAGCGAACTGCAGTTCGTCTGCCAGTGAAGGCTTTTCTGAGTTATGGTTGTTCTGTGTTGCAGTAGGCCTGTGCAAATGGCCACTGGGTAAAGGTAGCTCTTTACCCTGTTATATCGTTGTATAGTACAACAATCTGAGGGAGTTCTGAAGGAACTGCTGTCACTTATGCTGATTTTGTTCTCGAGAGACATTTTTTCCCTTTCTCTTGTATCCTTATTCCCTCTTGGGCACCTGTTAAGGTATTCATGTTTCTCTCTGATTTCCAGGAGGGTCTTGCTGACTTTCTGGTTTCAGTTGCTTAATGTGTTCTCTTTACCTAGTTCTCAGGCACTGCAAGCTGTTTTTCTGCCAGGTCCTTGTAGAAACATTCCTGGGTTGTAAAGTTGGCAGGAAGCTTATTTAGCTTATAAAAGGTTTGCATACTTTGTGAAGAGGAGAGTGGACCATATACCCTCAACTGTCACTGTGGTTGGGAGTGGTGGGGCAGTGGAGCCCATTTCTAATACCTCTGTGGTGTTATTAACTTTTATTGCTTGTCCTCTAGCCTACTTATGCTTTTACCACTACTGTTGTGCTCAGGGGGTGTTCTCTATGATCAATATGATCAATTGGAATGAAGATTCAAACTAGAATTTTTTTTTTTTTTACAAGGGAACAAATCCACTTTTATTTATTCCTAACTTTCAATAAATTTAACTCCTTGACGGGTACAGCATTACACAGATTGTGTGTCCAATGGCCTTAGTAGGAAAGTTGCTTTGCAGTTTAGCACGATCCATGCCACTGTTTCCATGAGCATGAGTCACCTTACCCTAGATTACCCTGGTTTTGTTCAGTTTGCCACCAGGCGTCACTGTGTTGTTCTTTGCCTTGTACACATGAGCACATCTCTTGCCTAGATGGAATTCAGTTTCATCTCACACATAAACACCTTCAATTTTAAGAAGAGCTGCGTGCTCCCTGTGGTTCCAGCGACCCTGCTTATAGCCAGCAAGAAATGGCCTTGGACCATAGCCTTCCAGACATATTTGTCATTTTAGAAGTCCTGTTCCCTGCAGGCCCCCAAAGTTCAGCAGCAAGAGATCCACTCTAAAACTACAGATGTTGTTTAAAGGTGGTTTAAATGGACATGCTGATGTCTATGGTCTGTTGGCAAGTCGAGCTGTACTTTTCCTTTCATGTCCTCCCCAGAGGAGCTGAGGTTTATCTCCTTCTATTGGCAGAGGTTTGATCTCTTGTGATACACAGGATGTGATAGAATACTAGGTAGGAGATGAGGAGGACTCAGATCCTGTGTTAGGGATATTTAGTGTGCAGGCCTCTCAAAAAGGGTGGAAAGAATGTGCAAAACGTATGCACTCCTGTACAGTTTGAATGATCTCCTCTAGGTCCCTCCGGATTCGAGTTTGCCCTCTCAGCCCGTCATGCTGACTTCAGGAGTGCACTATGTGGATTACTGACTGCCGCCAGCCAGGCCACCTCGCAAGTTAGATCTGGGTTGGCCTTCTGAGCTTCTCTTGGCTCTTCTTAGTCATATGCAGACCTACTGTACTGCTTCTTATCAGCTTCAGAAAAGAACAGCAGTGGGCCGTGTTCAGTGACTCCTAAGGAGATCCGCTGATTTTCTCAGTCTCCCCCATCAGTCAGATGCAGCAGCCTTACAGAGTGCTTGGAAAGGCCTGTTGTAGACTCCACTCTAGTGTCAGCTCGGAACTATAGGTTGTGTAGTCAGGACGCTGAGCTACAGTATGTGGGGTATGGTTAAAGCCAGGAACCAAGTACCTGTGCTCCTCTCCTCAGAGCTCGGAATAGATGTATTGTATACTGAAGATTTTGCTAAGAGGGTAGAACTTATGTCATGTTCTTATTGCTTTAAAAAAGTAATAATAATACTAATTAATGAG